GATATTTTCATTAAATTGTTACGTTTTATAAAAAATGTTACGTTTTCAAAGTTACGTTATTAGAACATATTTTGCACCAGATGATACGTTAAGTTTCTAACCCTTACCTGGGTCTCATTGCAAAAATTCTTATAATAAGAATTCTTACAAGCCTCATGCCTAGCTCAGATCAAAATGGGTCAGTGGGATTCGTTTAGACTTTACCTTCAAGTCAATGGCAAGGTCTTTAATTAAAAAGACTTAAAAGAATTCAATTAAATTAATTTGGGTGCCATACCTCTAGATGTACAATAAAAGTAAATTTGTCATTAACTTGTCAGTTGAAAGTAAGGAAAAATAAAGAACTTAAATTTCAAAACAATTAATCATTAATGAATGATATTTAACAAATAAAAAAGAAAAATGAAATGTATTGACTTTAACAAATTAATCGGCTTACGTTATTTGACTAGATAATGCGTTTAAAATTAAAATTGACTAGTACTTTGACTCAAAAATTGTGTGTGTGGTCCTGGCTGACACTTATCTTTTGTGTGTTTCCGGATTTCAACGGTCGAACTGGTCCGTGTAGCTCTCTCTAGATGTAGCTCAGCTTATGATGACTTTAGACATTCTGCAGTTCTAGATTTAACTCAGCTTACGATGATTTTCTACATATTCTGCATACTAGGAGTTCTTAGTTATAAAGGCCAATTCATTACTGTCTTTACAAGCCAGTTTCTCAAGTTATCAGGGCCAGTTCCTTAGTTTGTTCGGAAACACTTAACAACACTAAACCAAGCCAACCGATTCATTTGGCTGCTAGATTGAAAAAGAAATTGTAAAGCAAGCGAAAACGTGATGTATTCCACAGGTGGCCAGGCGTGCGCACGACCTCTGACCGTAATTATTGATTTTTAGAGAAGGCGCATCATTGGTTGAGCCATTGAATTTCTCAGACAGAGACAAATTCCCCAAATTAACATATTATGTATATTTCCAAATACGAGGGGCGCTCAAAAAGTATTAGAATATATTGGAATATTTGAACTAATTAAATATTGTAATTATTAAAAGGAGGTGACGATTACAACGTAACAAAATGGCAAAAATGGTTGTTAGACCTCCAAGAGGCAATACCTGTTAAGATCCCTAGATACTATTTCCCGTCTCTTTCTTATGTTTCTGAGGTTTCCGACGCTAGTAAAAAAGCATATTCCTCTGTAGGTTACATTGTTTCTGGCACCCCAGAAAATAAATAGGTTTCTTTCGTTAGCTCAAAGTTGCTCCCCTAAAACAACAAACCATCCCAAAGGTAGAATTTCAGGGTGATTTTTTAAGTTGCAGGTTAGGCAAAGCGATTTGTAATGAAATTGAATACAAAATAGACCAAGTCTTTTACTGGACGGATTCCATGATTGTTTTAAACAAATTAGGTCTCAATTGATCCCGATAAAATCTTTGTGTTGCCTGATGTAAAAAAAATCACCAACTGGTCTCGTTTATTTCGTTCCGCAGGATGGATCTTAAAATTTAAAGATACTCTACTTTCCCCAAGTCTCCGTAAAATCTAAGAAAACTGTAAAGCACCCGGTAAAATTAGTAAATTAAACATAATTTTGCTTATCTAATTTTAGTTAAAATGCTATAAAAATAAATGTCAGTAATAAAACTCTTTTGTACCTTGTGCTCCTTCTGGAGAAAAATTCTGATTGTGCCATTACGAAAGACCATAATTAATGTTTCTATCAAATCTATCAAAACTGTCTAAGAAAAGAAAACTTTCCTTCAGTTGTTAAATAATAGTTGTTTTCTAGACATACAAGCCCTAACAACTAAATTAAAACAAGATAATAAATCTATTAAGTTTTTTAGATTGTTTTCGCTCGAAAGTATTATATGATTAATATTAGGATAAAAAAAGTTATTTCAGAAAAATGTTTTTTGTAAGATAACTTATTTTTATTGATATATAATAAGATAAAATATAACGACAAATACGTATATGAACAAACATTATTAAACTTTATAAAGGAATTAATACGAGGCACGTCCAGAAAATAAGTTCCGTTTGGTAATAAAATTAAATTGTGTACAGATACAGAAAAATTATTTATTGCACGAAATTCTACAACTTTTAAACTACTTTTCCACATAACTGCCGAAATTTTTCAGGCATTTCTCATAGCGTGGCAAAAGTTTTTATATACCTTCTTCATAGAAGTTTGCCGCCTGTGTCTTCAACCAGTTGGAAACAGTTTCTTTCAGCTCGTCGTCATTGTTGAAGTGTTGACCGCCAAGGAAAGACTTGAGATGTAAGAACAGATGAAAGTCGCTAGGAGCGAGGTCTGGGCTGTACGGAGGATGGCCAAACACGTCCCAGCCAAATCCAGGGTTGCCAACCGGTCTTTACCGATTTACTCTCAAAAACTTTTCCGGATTACTCACAATTACTCACAACTTCAAAATATTAATATTACTAGTTTTTTTATATAAATCTTATATTTTGTACTCTTGTACTTTGGTTTGAATTTATTTTACTACTGTGCAATGTTGCCAAACATTAAAAGATAAATTTTTAGAACATACAAGAGTCAAAACAGATGCACCTTTTTTCTGTGCATTCACTATTTTAATAACAAAGTAATATACAGGTTGATTCATCACTATTGAGACAAAGGCTAAGGCAGGTTATTTGGACAAAAATATGGCAATAGGACCAAATATACCTTCATAAAATATTGCTGTGGAATTTGTTTTTTTCTGATGTCACTGTATATTTATGAATTGATATCAAAATTGGCACAAAGGCATATTTTTCGACAAGGAATAATATTTTATGTATTATTTCATATTTTGTTATAGGAGGCGCCACGTGAATGAATCCTGATGATGAAATTAAGTGGTAACTTTTTTTATGAAACTTTTTAGTATTTTTGATTAGAAAATTTCACCCGTTTTCGAGAAAAACGCAATTGAACAACTCACAAAATATTTCATTTATGAAAAGTTTGCTTTGCAGTGTCAAATAATATGCTGTTAGATTATAGATTATTATTACTAATATTATTATTTAACGCCCTGTATCTTATTCCACAGCAATATTTTATTAAGGTATATTTGGCCCTATCGACATATTTTGATACAAATAACCTGCCCTTAGCCTATGTCCCAATAGTTATGAATCACCCTGTATATAAAACATCTTTGTCATCAGCTGGACAAAAAACACAGATAAAAAGGATTGGAGAATCAGAGTAGCTTCTTTATTAACGGACCAAATCATAATAAATCATTAATTCTAATACTTAAAAAAAATCTACTAATAAAAACATATACTTTTAAAATGAACAAAAAAAAAAGATATTAATCGACGGTTGGGACAGTCCCAATGGGACTATCACTATCGAAACGACACCTAGTGTTGTAAAATATCAAAGTTACTTTTACTCTATTACATTGACCAAGCAACAGAGGACGTTGCAATTTTAAAACTATAAAATTGTAATGACTGCTAAAAGTGCTAGGGGGGTAAAATAAGGCTTATATTAAAAATTTTAAAAAGAACACGGTTTTAATAAATTATCCGATCAGGATTTTGCCTAACTACCATGAATATACCCACGCTGACTTCCCGATTACTCACAATTGCCCTTTACTCACAAAATTACTCACAGACTAGTAAATTACTCACAAATGTGAGGAATTACTCACAGATTGGCAACCCTGGCCAAATCCCTGTAGGAGGTTTTTCGTCACATTTGCAGTGTGTGGTCGTGCGTTGTCGTAAAGAAAAACAACACCTTTTGACAGCAATCCTCGGCGCTTATTCTGTATTGCGCGGCGCAATTTCCCAAGTATCTCGCAATAAGCATCTGCTGTGATTGTTTGACCACGCGGTAAGAAATCAATGAGTAAGATGCCTTTCCAGTCCCAGAACACTGTGCACATCATTTTTCGAGGTGTCAAGATTTGCTTCGGCTTAACCTTTGCTGGGGATGAAGTGTGCCTCCATTCCATTGATTGCCGCTTACTTTTAGGGGTGTCGTAAGAAACCCAAGTTTCATTTCCTGTGACTATCTGTGTCAGAAATTCTTCGCCACCTTCATCATAACGGGTCAAAAACTGAAGTGCACTACCCATCCGTTTTGTTTTGTGTTGCTCAGTAAGAATCTTTGGTACCCAACGTGAGCAAAGTTTACGAAATTTCAGTTTTTCGGTAACAATTTCATGAATTAGTGATCGTGAGATTTGGGGAAATTCCATAGCGAGAGCACTAATTGTAAACCTGCGGTTTTCCTGGATCTTTTCATCAATCGCGTGAACCAGTTCTTCTGTAACCAAAGATGGACGCCCACTTCGTTCTTCATCGTGCACGTCACTACGTCCTTCATTGAACTGTCGGACCCATCTTCTTACCATTGAATCACTCATCGCATTTTGTCCGTAAACATCGCAAATTTGCCGATAAATTTCAATTGGTTTCACTTTCCTCGCATTCAGAAAACGAATCACAGATCTGATTTCACAAGCGGCGGGATTTTCAATCAACACCGACATTATAAACAAGCACAACAAAGCGTACGTTACTGACAGCGACCTACAAATGGCACACGTTTCTTCTCCAGGATACAGAGCGTCTACCGCGGATGTGCGGAACTGCGATCGCAGCGCTGGAGCGGAGATAAATTGAAACGGAACTTACTTTCTGGACGTCTCGTATGATGTAGCTTTACAATTAGTACTTTTGTATAAGAAAGTGTTCTTAGAGTTTTGCTAGAGAATTTTTGTTAGCCAGGGTTTACATTTTTTTTTAATTAGTAATTCTTTTAGTTTGACTAGAAAAGTAATATCAAAATAGTATTTTAAAGTTTTGTACACTATATTTAAAACATGAGTAATTTTAAATCGTTCATACAGATCACATTCTTAAGCTCAGTCAAAGTTTAACAAGCTTTATATCTGTAGAATTAATACTCCAGTAATGTCATTTAATTTTTTTTTGGTTCTTATATTTTCAGCCGCTCCACGAGAACAACCGTCACAGGTCTCCGGTTGGCAGTACTACGGGCCGACGCCCTAAAGCCTCCTCAACCCCTCAACTTTTAGGAAGATCCACCTCTGAAGGCAGGTAAGTACATTTTTTAAATTCTTTTCAATAATATAAATATACAAGGTCTTTACAAAAACATACCACATATTCCTTAGGCCAAAATAAGTCGATTTAAGTAAAATTACCTTTGTACAAAGTTGCTTCGTTTGGGCTCCAAAGGGCCTTGAATTTACAATTTTTAAATCGTTTTTCCCATATAAATTTAAAACGGCATATGCGATTTTGCTAAAATTTGGTATATTGGTAGAGTTTTATGTGGCAAAAAAATGGTATTAAAATTTTGTCCGATAATAATACATAGGCGTAGAACTTGATTTTTTAAATAATTGCACCCTTAAAAATTCTACGCCAATGGAAGAAAAGGAGTTTGAGTATGAAATTTAGATTGCCCAACTCATTTACTTTAAAAAAGGTACTCTTGATAAGACTCGATTACTCTCATGGTTTTGATGAAATTTGCATTTTAGTAATTTTAGAACATAAACAATAATTATTAAAATACAAACTTTGTCAAAACCATGAGAGTAAATCGAGGGTTATCAAGGGTACTTTTTTGTAGTAAATGCGTACCCAATCCAAATTTCATACTCAAACCCCTTTTCTGCCATTGGCGTAGAATTTTTAAAGGTGCAATTATTTAAAAAATCAAGTTCTAAGCCTATGTATTATTATCGGATGAAAAATTATGAAAAACATAAAAATGTACTTTTTTTATATCTTCTTCAACACCTCTAATCGAGACTTTTAACAAAAATACTCGATTCTTGCCATGTACGATTTTTTGAGGAATATTATTTGCCTGCAATACGTATACAAAAACATTTATTGATGGTTTCCATAGTTTCATCTAAATAAAAACATTGTCAAGTTTTAACACCTAATCTCTTGTTAACGATTTAAAGTGTTCTATCTGACTCAATAATTAAAAAAACAAATGCGTGGTTTATTAATATGGCTGTACAATATACCAATGCAGAATATTATACCGATATGTTACTGACATTAGGATTTTGTGAAGGAAATGCTCGAGAGAGTGTCAAGGTGTACTCTGAAAGGTTTCCAAATCGTCGTGTACCTAGCCACCCAACTTTTGCTGCTGTTGAGAGACGTCTTCGGGAGACCGGTTCCTTTGCTCCCAACACTGTTGATAATGGAAGAGAACGTTTTGTAAGGATTCCTGAAGTTGAAGAAGACATTTTAGAACGTGTTGAAGAAGATCCAGAATTAACCACCAGACGAATTGGAAGGGAACTAGGAGTAAGTAAAGATGTCGTTCATAAAGTGCTTAGAGAACAATTGCTATATCCATACCATAAGAAGCCAGTACAAGAATTATTAGTCCATGATCGTCAAATTCGTTTGGGTTTTTGTCGATTTGTTAATATGCAAAGAGAAAGAGATCCAAACTTTGTCAAGAAGGTTCTCTTTACCGATGAAGCGGGTTTTACAAGAAGAGGTATAACTAATACCCATAATGAACATGTTTATGCCGTTGAAAATCCGCATGCAATAAAGGTAAACCATTTTCAGCACGAATTCAAAATTAATGTGTGGGCTGGAATAATTGGTAATTTCATTGTTGGTCCTGTCATACTTCCACGAAGATTAACTAGAGAAAATTGTTTGGATTTTCTACAAAATACGTTGCCAGAATTGTTAGAAGATTTACCTCTCCGACTTCGGAGAGATATGTGGTTTATGCAAGATGCACATTTTTCTTTAAACGTTAGAAACCACTTGAATGAACAATATCCACACAAATGGATAGGCAGAGGTAATGACGCACCTGTAAACTGGCCACCACGTTCCCCAGACCTAACACCGATGGATTACTTTTTATGGGGATATCGGAAATCCACAGTTTACAAGGAACCTGTAGAAAATGAGGAACAACTCTGGCAACGTATTCAAGATGCAATAAACAATCTTAGAGGTGATGAAGAAGTTATGGAAAGGATACATTTTAATTTTCTTTGACGTATAAATCTTTGTATGCGTGAAAATGGTGAACATTTTGAACAATTTTTGTAAAATCTCTATTTTGATTATGTTGTAAATAAATATTTTTGTGAAACCTATACACTCTAAATTATTAAAACAGAAGTTTTGCGAAAACCATGAGAGTAATCGAGTCTTATCAAGAGTACCTTTTTTAAAGTAAATGAGTTGCGCAATCTAAATTTCATACTAAAACTCCTTTTCTTTCATTGGCGTAGAATTTTTAAAGGTGCAATTATTTAAAAAATCAAGTTCTACGCCTATGTATTATTATCGGACAAAATTTTAATACCATTTTTTTTGCCACATAAAACTCTACCAATATACGAAATTTCAGCAAAATCGCTTATGCCGTTTTAAATTTATATGGGAAAAACAATATAAAAATTGTAACTTCAAGGCCCTCTGGAGCCCAAACGCATCAACTTTGTACTAAGGTAATTTTACTTAAATCGACTTATTTTGGTCTGAGGAATATGTGGTATGTTTTTGTAAAGACCTTTTACAGACATTTATTTTTTCCTATTTTTATCATATTTCTTGCTAAAAAGTATGTATCTTTCATACTAGATAGAATTTTTGCCAACATAAATGGTAAATAAATTAATACATAATTAAGAAGGGGTTCGGAAATAAACAAAAAGACAACACAGGAACGTCACCTAGGTTTTTAGTTTGTTTGCGTGCTCCTCACCTAACAGTTTGTACTATTATATAATGAAAAAAATGTAGACTAATTACTGTATTACTAAATAAATTGAAAAATTACTAAATAAAAAATCTACTTCCTAACGAAATAAAAATCATTGGAAAAACACTGTGTATAGTTTTTAACAAATTTTTATGCCTTGTTATTGAAAATACATGTTTTTTTTTTCAGGAAATGGGCTGAAAACATTGACCAATCGAGTTGCCACACTAATGGTAAAGAGGTGAAAACTCCCGGTACTCGTAGGCAATTATCAGGTAAATATATTAATTTAAGTTTTTAATGTGTGTGAAATTTGTTTTTATATTTAGAGAAGCAATCATTTTTTTGTTTCAATATTATAGCAAGGAAAATATTTATGAGTATAATACAAGGTTGTAATACCAATGCTTTCATAAACTAAATTATAACATATTATATACGAACAACGTTATTAATTTTAATATTTAACATTATGTATTTATTTCTTCAGGAACTCTTGCACTTTACGTGTACTTGAATAAAAAAAAAATATGTTTGACTGTGACAATTATTAGATACGGAGGTTTATGTTAGACTCGAGTCATTGTTTTATTTGACAAATATTTTTCCTACGACCAATTAGGAAAGTGACACATATCACACTATATAGTCCTATGGAAAGTGCCCTATATCACATGCGTACGAATAAGAATTTACTTTATACCCGTGTACGAACATGCTACTTTCCGCAGCAGCTGTCACAAAATGTCAAACACATAATTTATATTTTGATCTATGTAATGTCCAGAATAATACTAAAATCGATATGATTGTTAAATTATTAAAATTGTTGTAAATTAAATCCTAGGGTGACCGGAAAAAAGCGCAAAGGAAATAAGCGCACAGGAAATATGCGCACACGGAAAAAACCGCACACGGAAAGAAGCTCACGGGTATAAAAGCGCAGATGGAAAAAAGCGCACATTGAAAAAAGCGCAAAGTGCATGTAGTTTATATTTATATTTTGTTACAATTTTTTGTTGTTTGATTAAAACTTTAATTATCGTTGTTTACATATTTTTAGCTGATAATTCAGGAATCTACTCAGTTATTTATTCGGAATTATTATAAGTACGATACAAAGAATAGATCTGTACCTTGGTTTGTTATAATCCAGGTGAAAAATATTAGACAAGTTTAAAAAAATTCTTAAAATACTTTCACAATGAAGTTAATACGGTTTATAATATTTATATCTCCATTATGGATTGTTGAGGACAGACTAATTCCACCAAATCCGCTTTTAAAAAATCATAACGATCAGTTTCGCCGCGAGGAAATTATGCTGATGGGGGTGTATATTTTTCTTATCTCATATATTTTAATTAAAACGAAATATTTGCAAGTGGTCATTTATTTTTACTGGAGATTATAAAATTAAGATAGGTACTTATTATTTCATTTATTAGTTGCTTTTTTGTTAATAATTTTTAATTCAGGATAAATCCCATGCCGTCAATCTCTTTCTTTATAAGTTGCCACATTGCAGTTTCAAGTAACTTGTATACTTTCGTCTTTTAACAAGCAGAAGGTAACGGAAACAGACATTTCATTTACATATGCATGGATGTTAAACAGTTTGGCAGCTCATTTTTCCCATTTAAGTTGGCGAAATTTACGAAATTTTTCGAAAATAATTAAAGGGTCACTAAACGGCATTTACGAGAATTGATAGTCGAACCGTTTTAAATAAAGACACGAATTAAACTCAAACTGTGCCTAATATTTTAACATTTAAAGTCTTCTTAGAATAATGTTAGGTACTCATGGATTATATCATTAATATCTATTTATTATAGACCGTTACATTAATTAGAGAAAAGTTTTGCAAATTTAACAATCTTCTTTGAATATTGTAAGGTAATTAGGGATTATATCATTAATATCTATTTATTATAGACATTAACCTGAACTAAACTAAAATTTTTCAAAATTTAAGAATCTTCGTTGCTTTATGATATTAAACACTTACAGACCTATTTAAAAAAGACTGATGGTATATCGGATTTGAAAAAGTTGTGTTGCGAAAAAATCAGGCTGTACGCATAACCATAAACTTCTTTCAAAACTTTTGGTTTAAAAGTACAGCTGAGACTCCAAAAACCCTCCTTAAAAAAGGTAAAAAAGATTCTAAGTTAAAAATGGAAGCTCTTAAACTTGGAAGACCACTTGAGGAGAAAAAAAAATCATTGAAGCACTTATTAGCCCAAGAGTATGGCGAAGGATGGAAGCAAGAAGATGATCTAGTATGGTACAAAACTATTTTACAAGCTAGTGAAGATGAAATAGAGGAAGAACAAGGCAAGGCCGAAAATACCTGCGACTGAGTGGAGGAAGATGTTGCTTTACATATTTAATTTTTTTCATTTTTTAATTTTCGTTAATTAAATCAGTTTTTCACTAAAGTTTTAGATTTTATTCGCCTTGTAAATAATGTAAAATTCATCACTTTAAGCAAAACGTAATAAATCCAAATGAGAATTAAGCAAAAAGAAATAAATCCACACTAACTAGGCAAAATGGCATATATCCATATTCTAGTTGAGCAAAACGAAGTAAATCTATTAAAAAAATACACATATTATTGGGAAAATCTTAAATTTGAACTATTATTTATATCATTCTGCAGTAGATAAAAATTGCAGTTTTTCTTCATTTTTCTAATTTTTTAAGTTTTACTCAAAACAACATATTATGGATTTAATTCATTTTGGATAGTTGCTCCTCAGTTGTGAAACCTATAATTATGAGTGAAATGAATTCACGTTGCCAGGTAATTTCTTCACTATATCTCTTTACATTGTCAGTTAACAATTTTTTTATAGGTCGACCTTATCGACATGCAAAGTGAGCCTGATGGAGAATATAAATTTATTCTCAATTATAGATTTACCTGCCAGTATCGTTTCATAGAATAAGTAATTTTAAATTGTTATCGGCGGAACCGGACAATCGCATGTATTTATGGATTATAAATAATTATTAAACATGTATTATAATATTCAAATTATAATTTTACAAAATTTCAACAGCTATTCACAATTTATTAAACTATTTACTCGAAATTGTTATTAACATCTATAAAATAATTTTGTACGCCAATGTATCGCGTCCACTTCGGTGAGATCCGCTGCCAACCTGTCAATTTATGTGTATAAAGTGGGAGAACTGGCAAAAACATTTCCAACTTTTACTTCTGTTCTACCAAGATCATCTAACTAAATATGTGGTGCTGCGACTAAAACGAAAACAGCAGATGAAGTGGCAGATGTTATTCTTGATATCTTTTGTTTGTTTGGAGCACCAAATATTTCACATAGTGACAATGGAAGAGAATTCTGTAACCAAGTAAGTGTAATGGCTTTGTACAAAGGCTGTGTTTCATCTGAGTAACTTTCAGGTCATTGAAAAGTTAGCAGCAAGTTGGTCCGCTATCAAATTAGTCCACGGTAAACCTCGACATTCCCAGAGCCAGGGTTCCGTTGAACGAGCAAATCAGGACGTTCGTGATAGCCTTGTAGCCTGGATGTCTGATAACAAGTGTCAAAACTGGGCAAAAGGACTTCGTATTATTCAGAGTACGAAGAATCGCAGTTTCCATACAGGTATAAAGCGAACACCTTATGAAGCCATGTTTGGAACTCCACAAAGAAATGGACTATTGGATACGTGCTTAGATACCTCTGTCGTAAATGGGATTGAAACTGAAGAACAACAAGAGCATCTGAAATTGATGAAACTTTCTTTAGTATCTGAGAAATATAATTCTGAAATTGGTGAATCGGAACTAGAAATCGAAACCGAATTAGAAATTGAAACGGAACTAGATACCGAAACAGAAAATTATAGAAACGACAGAAGATTGGAAAAGGAAAATGCCAGTATGACTAAATGTTTTGTTTGTGATAGCATGTACGTCCCACAAAATGTATGCATTGAATGCAATGAACCATTTCATATGGAATGTGGTGCTGATTTGGATTTGCCATTATGCAAACTTTGTAGCAATAAAAAAGCAGCTGATACAGAGAGAAGGCGTTGCAAACAGGGGCTTGAAAAACAAGCTGATAAAATGCTTACCCAATCGCAATGGAAATTACCAGTTGTCAATATAGGTGACAATGTTTTAATAAACATACCAGAGGTAGATCGTGGACGTCTAGCTCCTCGAAATATATTAGCAATTATTATGGATAAGACTGATCAAGATTTGTACATTCTGGGCACCAAAAATGGGAAATTAAAACGATTATACAGCCGAAATGAGTTTCAATTATCGCCTTCAGTATTTTTATCACTATCTGAGATCCCTTCAGGCTCTTCTGTAAACGTGCGTGACGATGCAAAGTTGTCTTCTGGTTCTAAGCAAGGGTTTGTCCGATGTAATTGCCTGCGCTTTTTTCCGGGATTCAAATCCTAGATATTTATCTTTAACAATTATTATTAAAATAATTTTAAAATAACTAAGATATGTTTGCTTTTTATTCTGGTTAAACACATAACCGATTAGATCATTTAATTGACGTAAGGCCTATTAGCTCAGATGGTTAGAGGGTAAAATTTATTAACTTTGCCATTTGAGACTTGGCGAGCGACCGCGTTCAAATCCAGGCGGGGCCAGAATTTCTTTTTGTTTTTTTATTTGTTTTTCTTTTACTTTTTTTTTATTTGAAAATTGAATAAATACGATTATTGTTGATTATTGTTTTAAATACATTTTAATTATTATAATAATAACCCGATTTTACATTTTTTGATGAAATTATTTTGTGGTCGTACGAAAAATATTGTACATTACTTGTGTGAAAAGATTTAAATCCAAGTGACAATGCTTTATTAGTAATAGAATAGTTTATTTGAAAAGTTTGTCGGTGCTCACAGAATAAGCATTATTCAAAATATTAAACTGAAATAATCTTATAACATCGCTATACAAGAATTTCCATAAAGCTATGAAGCGAATTCATGTTATAAGTAACTGTGCAATATAAATTTATGGAATATAAAATAAGCGCAAATCGACCACTATTCAAACTTTACTAAAAAGGCTCTTTGAATTCGTTTCCCGTTTCTGATATAGAAATCAATGTGCATAAAAGGAAAACTTCATGAAGAGCTATTTCAGTAAAGTGCTTTATTATATCACCTTTACGATACATAAAATATTAAATTGCGGTAAAGGTGTGAAATACAATCTCATTGGTATGAAATATAAGAAAGTATGTGTGTATATTGG